TGAACCTCATACAGTTGGCCTCGGCCCATCGATCCAGCCTGTCCTGTCTTCTCCACAGATGGACCCGAGATTGTACTAGCATGGACAGTGCAGTATTTCTTGGTTTTCAAAGTCTGGAATTTGCCAAATACAATGTTCTTGAACAGCCCAAGATATTATATGACTTGTTGGATACTATTACCCTTTGGTAAAGATTTTACTTGGAAAAATGATGACTACAACATTATATAGATAGCCTAAGCATACACATCATTCTTAAGACTATTGGAAGAGAAATCTATTAGTGAGAAGCAACTTCTGTACTTCAAAGCTCAAAAAAGAAAGAGCTGATTACCAGCAAACAGATAAGGAACACTGAGGGAAAAAAGCACAACTTCTTTGAAATAATGCTGTACGCTCAGTGATGATAAGTTCATTAACTGATAATAGAAAGTATTCGCTATCCAGCAGGGTAGCTAAATATAGAGGCCAGAATTTCTGTAGTTTAATTCTTAAACCAAACTGAAACACAAAATAACAAAAACACGCTCCTAATTTGTGGAAGAAGGATATATTAATTAAGAAATATGAAAAAAAGGGAGTTCTTTAAAACTGAGTGAAAGCATTACACAAGTGTAAACTAAACTTACTGGACTGTTAGCACTAGGTCTTAAAATCATGTTTTATATAATAATTTTATTTACTGTTAGTTTAAACCTGATTAACCACATAAACCGTACTATTTTCTAGCAATGCTACCATTGTGCATTTGACAGAAAACATTTTTTTTTTTGATTTCTCATATACTGATGGAATTTAATAGGGATTTTTTGTTTAATCAACTATAAACTAGAGTTGAATTTATTCCACAAATAGAGATTGAAAAGCCATTGTAGGTTTAATAAAGGCAAGATTTTTCTTAGACTTTAAAAAATAACTAATTTGGAGTGTCTTATTCCTTCCTATAACCTACTCATTCTTACCTATAATGCTGGTAGGTTACAATGATAAAAGTTTAAAACAAAATAACACTTTTTACAGGGAAGAACACAGGTATGTGTTACTTACCTGTCTCTTGTTGCTTTTGCAAGTTTGTCTTCTGATTTCTTATCGTGAGTCTCTAAACCCAGCATGAAACTGCCCCTTCCAAGCTGAGCTTCCGACTGTTCTAATTTCTCAGACAAATCAAAGACTTGGCCAGTGGTATAGTCGGCATTCTTAGGAGAAAGAAAGCAATAAACATACTGAATTCTAAGCTATAGATTCAAGCATTTATGCACAAACTAAACAAAATCTGAAAAGACCCTTTAAGACTGTAGTACTGCACATTTTAACCTATATCTGCAATTGAAGTGATACAGCACAAGTGGCACGTGAGTGGTGGTTGAGAGAACAGAAGCTGAACAACTGACAAATGCTCAACACCTAAAGCCTGGAACAGGCACTCGTCATTACTTTGCGTTCACGCCCTAAGTTATGAAACTAAGAAAAAGTAAAACTCAATTGGTTTTGACCAAAAGAAAAGGTATAAAAATTGGCTTTTGCAGAAAGAAGGTTTTGATGCCGAGCTGTTACATTGAAGGTCTACCTGCAGTATTTCTGTTGCACCCTCATTTTAACAGTCCTGTTAGTTGGGTTTTTTCCCACATTTTTTTAATAGTGATTACTTATTCAGTACCGTTATTTTAGGCATATTATTCATTACACTGCTGTAAAGAGAGAAAAGGTTAAAAGGTGTTTAAAACAAAATCTAAGCATACAGAGAACTCAGTAAGTTATTCCAACCTTCTACTTTTAAAGAGCAGATATAAAGAACATTTCAGTATTTATAATTAGGAAACCCTTCCTTTCTTGCTTAATCTGGCAAATAAGATTCTTAATGTGGGATCTATACCTATCAGCTTCCCACTAAGCATTTTACAGTAGAGGATCTGGCTTTCAGCACTAATGAATTAACATATACACGATAGCATACTATGGTACTTACAGTAAGCAAACTAGAAGAACTGAGAGTGTTCACCCAGTACTTGTTCCACAAAAGCTCAAGCAATTTACGATCCAAAGATGATTTAAAGTATGAGACTTCTAAAGCATAATACCTTTAAAAACAAACATGCAAACAAAATAAGCTTCCATCTAAGCATGTCTTGTTTGGCTGTGAAACCCAAAGTACATTCATCTCAAAAAATCCTTATTAATGGCAAATATCTTCAACAATTCAAAGCACTGAACAATAAAAAAACCACCTCCTGTTCCAATTCTAATTCCTACTCCATTGTATTTCATATATAATATAATCCTCACAAATACTGCTGTGTTCTATTTAATGAGATTGCAAGGTTTTTTTTATTATTCTCTTATCCACTTCTGCAATGCAATGATGCCCTGTTCCATGCTTGGGATCTTCAATACTGTAATAATTGTTAATTACAGCTGACTGCAGTTTTGCATGTATCACCTCTAGTTCCATTAGGAATGTCTCTTAGCAGCAAATGTTACAAACAGGCAAACAATCTTATGCTCTATCACACCTATTTTGAAAGCCAGGCTTTAGTGGTGCTACAGAATTCACACGAGATGATAAAACAGAGAGAAAGCTGAGGTATGCAAAGTCATTAGTGTAGGGAAAAAGGGAATTACAGCAACCTTACAGAGCTATATTAAACTTTATTTTGATTAGGACATTCTCGAGCAGGTTATCAATAATCCTATTATTTCTTGATTTCTCTGGAAAGTTATTTTGCTTGGCATTTTGGTAAGAAATTCCATCTGAGATAACAATGCTTTAAAATCTACAAACACACCACACTTTAATGTTTTTTTGATAGAACAAACACCCTTATTTCACACATGTAAAGAAAAATGTGGTACTAACTCAGTTCTTCAAAATTAGAAATCCAAGGTGTTTGAGGAATAATGTAATAAACTTACTTAAAAAGATTAAATGGAAGCAGTTTCATATTGGCCATTGAACACCAATCAAAGGAGGGATGTTTGACTAAGGTTATCCAGACTGCTACTATAAAGCAATTAGTTGTCACTGGCATTCCAAACAGACAGGATCATTACGGGTTCACAGAAGAAGTCTTATCAGGAGTGGCTGAAAGAACCAGGGTTGTTTAACATGGAGAAAATGAGGTTCAGGGGAGACCTTATCGCTCTCTACAACTACCTGAAAGGAGGTTGTAGAGAGGTGGGTGTTGGTTTCTTCTCCCAAGTAACAGGTCAAGGGGAAATGGCCTTAAGTTGCGCCAGGGGTGGTTTAGACTGGGTATTAGGAAAAATCTCTTCACTGAAAGAGTTGCCAAGCATTGGAACAGGCTGCCCAGGGAAGTGGTTGAGTCACCATTCCTGGAGATATTTAAAAGCCACGTAGATGTGGTGCTTAGGGACATGGTTTAGTGGTAGACTTGGCAGTGTTAGGTTTGCAGTTGGACTCAATGATCTGAAAGGTCTTTTCCAACCTAAATGATTCCATGGTTCTATGATTATCATTCAAGTTCTCTAAACTTTTATTTCTTAGTCAAACTACCCACACTACTGAGAGGACACAATCGCTCTAGTCTTTTGTATTATCAGTAATTCAGTAACATGACAAGTTTGCAGTGTTCATTCCCCGTCTTTGCTTAACTGCTGTTTCCTTCTAGGAAACACTGCAAACTATTTTCTTGGTTTGGATGGAAAGAAATGACTTGTACAAGAAGCCAACTTTCCGAGATGGAGAATATAACAGTAACTATTAAGCACTTCCAACCACCAAATAAACTCTCCCAAAAAGATGAACCCCGTGACCACCTCTAAAAACAAAAGGGTAAAACATAGCCTCCTCTCATACTTAAAAGCATGGGTTTATGGCCAATGCCAGACTTACAAGGGCTAATCCGAAATGACAGGAACATTACAGTTCTACAGTTCACTACGGTTCTGTGTAGCTACTGTTCTGGATTCTTCCTCAAATTGGATAGGAAGACCAATTCCCAATTGTTTTAATTTCTTCATCTCTTCAGGGTCAGACTTCGCATGCAACTCTAAATGCACTGAAGAACAGATATCCACACACCAAAAACGTGAAAAAACTGCATAACAGCCTACAGGACGTACTGGTGGCAATGAGATCTTCAAGTTCTCTGTACACAGATGCTTGTCAAACATCTGAAGGCAGAACTGAAACCAGGCCATTATCAAAAGAAGTGGTCCCATCTTTCCTTAGCTGTTCTTTGCAAACACTGCGTAAGTCCAACAACTGTCTCTACTTTCCACCCCACCTTAGCTTAACCAGCAAGAACGCGTGTGCTGCCACAAGCTGGAGCAGGTAAGGCGACTGACCTGGCAAAACAGATGCCTTGCCAAGTAAGTAAGTGTGGGTATGAAGTGAGGAGCATGTGGCTGGGGATAGATCAGTTACAGAAAGAATGGTTAAAACTAAACTACCTTTTTACTTCATGGAAAGTAAACTAGCAGGAGAGTAAAAGCAGTAATTCTTCCTGTTGCTGATGTTATCCTTGAACCAGTTCCACTTTCCAATCCTATCAAAGACAGATACAATCTTAACGTGCCCAGTGATGCAGGAGAGAGAGATGCACAGCACTTGCCACTACTCAGAAGAGCAGACAGATTACAGTCTGCCTAGTCCTGCTGCTAAATCTACATCTGACCTCTTCCTCCCTGCCCTAAGAAAGCACCTTTACTTAAAGGTGTTCAGGAATCAACTGCTAAAGCTTCATCAAACTGCTAAAGGTTCATCTTCATCTTTGTTACAGTTCTCCCTTAAAATATCTCCCGATAAATAACAACAATACTTTCTCACAAAACCAACACTGCTAAAGCAACAAAGAACTTGAAGATCTGAAATACTCCAGGAAATGTACTGTTCTGCATTGAATCACTAACCCACACACAAAAACTAACAAATTGTGCGAGAGTTAGTAGTTTTTATGTTACTTACTGTTTACAATGTACACCAAAGTCTTCTATTTTATTAAGCGGAATAGTCTGGTATTCAGAGGGACCTTCATCTGGAGGTTTATAGCCCTAAAAATTGAAAAAGGGCAAAGATGACACAGGAATTTTGGGACTTTTTAAAAATGCCTAAACTCTTCGAAAGCACATCACAAAAATTCTAGTTCATGCAAGTCTAGTTTATTTTCCCTTGGGAAAATGAAATTTCCCCCAGTAGCCTGAAATTTTGAATTTTCTTGGATCTCAGATTTACATTTGGCTTTACTAGCAGTCATTACACTTGCAGGTCTATCAAAAAGCATGCTGGAAGCAAGGTAGTCATAGCTGAGATTTTTCAAACAAGATGGCAAGCTATGATTAGATCATTTCTTCTATAAGAGAAAGAGGGAGCTTCTTCTAAGATAATATTTATCTTATCTATTCTTGAAAGTGATTTCAATCCGAGGGAAGAAATTCCATGCCTTGGATATGCCTTAGGGATACCTAAAACTTCAGTTACTTAGTTAGCCAGGATGGTGCCACTCACAGCTACTGACTAGGCAAGAACTGCCCACAGACCACTCTGAGGGCTCGCTAAAAATACTCTTCTAACATGCACTTTCCGTATAGAATTTATTTTTCAGGTGCATGATTCTTCTCCCCGCTCAAAATTTTGAAACTATTTATGAGGTGGTTTTGCATACAGAAGTGAATATTCTCCTGAATCACAAACTGTTCTAAGAAGCTCTCTCATGTATATTTGACAACACAAAAATAATGCTTGAGGGAACCCCTCAAACATTTTTGTTAATTACAGCTTTACTGGATGTCAGACTGAAGTTCTTGATGAGTCAATAATAACTGGAATTTTGAAGGATATATCTGAACTTTATTAGATTGAAATTAAATAGCAGTTACATGTCTGCCAGAAGTATAAATGAAAGACTGCATTTGGAGATCTAGATCTCCATTATGTACATGACTTCCTAGTTTTTACCCTAACCATTCCATGTTGTTTAATTCACTTGTTTTTTTGTACATTGTTTTGTGAAGATTCATAACATCAACGCTATTAATTATGCTGTTAACCTCGGTTTCAGGTCTAAAAAATGGTAGACAAGAATTAACATAAATCTATTTTGATGAATGCACCTACAACTAGATCCATTAAAAACGCCTATACTGAACTATATAATTTTAGGACAGCTAAAATTACGGTCTATTTGATTTAACACTGCCAAAAATCTATGGAAAACAAACTAGAAGTTAACCTTTGTGACAATCAATATTCAAAGATACGCAATAACAAGTATATCAGCACATCTTTCTTGTAGAATGAACAATGACATACAGTACAACAAAGCAGATCGAACTGTCAGATGATCTATCTAATCTTTAGAACCAATCCATTACTTATTTAAAGACAGTTTAGAGATCATGCACTAGATAATTTTAACTATTTACCTTAGGATATGTCCTAAATGCTCCAAGATTTACTTTTCCCGCAGATATTGTTCTTGTTGGATCAATCTGTAGAAATACAGGTAATGCTTGTTATATGCATTTTATTATTAGAGGCATAAGTTAACTTTACAGTAATTGTGTTTCAGAAATGTAATTAGGGCAAATTGAGTTAGTGTTGTCATAAACATTACTTTTTCAGTTGGCAATTTGTTGGTATGAGACTCTCTAAAATAGCCTTCTATGGACCTTTCTTTCAAACTCATTTTCCTTATTTCCCAAATACTTTAAGGAAATTGCACCTAAGAACATTCAATAAACCATAATAAAAAAATCTGCAGTTAAATCTTATAACCACAGAGGTAAGAAGTAGTATTATGTGATGTACTGTATTTTAGTTGAAAATACAGGAAAGTAGAGAAGGAGTCTCCTTGCTAACATATTTACCAATACTCCATTTAACTTTAAAAGTAATTAAAAAACAGAAAAAAAGGGCAGGGAGGGGAGAAAAAAGAAGTTCCAAGTCAAGTGTTCTATCATAACATAGGAGAACTCAACATGGTGGAAATACTTCTTAAGGGTGATTTATACTTTTCTAAAGTAACTCTTCCATCAGTTATATTCCTTATTTCTGACTAATTTCAGTCTTTTTTCCTTTATTTCCTTCAGTAGCAACGGTTATACAAGTAGTACTGAAAATAAGGTTTACTTTTGTTTTCAAATGTGATCTGAAGCCTGGAAGACCCTGAAAGGCCCGAAGAGTTTCTTCAGATTTTTTCTTCAAAGACAGATTTCCTAGTGCCTTCTGCCTTGCAATATGCCCTTTATTTAATTTAAAAGCCATTTTAGATGCGAAGTAACAGAGCTTTGTGAACACGCTTTGCTCTGTTTCGACAGAAGAAGCAACAAAGAGAACAAAAAAACCCAGATTTTTGTTCTATTGCAGGAGGTTGAATATGGATTGCTCAATAAATTTTTTTCTGCAAAAGTATGAAGTAGAACTTTTAGTTAAGAGTAATGTATGGATTTGTACAGAGTTACCATGCCTGGAACAATGTAGTGAAAATGGCCTCGGTAAGCAATACTGCTGGTTTGACCAGTATGTGGCCAACAAAACAGAAGGAGTGACACCAATTTAGAATTTGGATCTAACACTTCCATCACGCAAAATACTCATTACTAGAATGTTAACAGACAGAAATCTAAAAATTACTCGCCCCTCGACATTATTTACTATGCAGTTTTATCAACTATCAGACAGTACTTACAACCACTGCTACAAAGGGTTCTTGAAACTGCTGATTAAGCATCTGGGTACTGACGTCGATGCCAGAGAGCCAGCAGCCATAGCCAGGGTGGCTGTGATACCAGCCAATTGCATTTTCTAGACGACCAACCTAACGGCAGAGAAGGAAAACAAACCCAGAGTTAACCTCCATTCCGAAAGTATCAGCTGCCCTCTACTGGGCCTTCCAGCAGCTACAACAGGGTGGGAGCACAAAAAAACGAACACACACACAGAGCTCGCAATGCTAACTTGCAAATACTAAACGTACGCCTTATTTTGACAAATTATTTTCTAGAAACCATGCAGTCTGTAGTACCAGCATTCTCTGTTACAACTATTATCACAGAACAAAGAACTCTGATGAGCCAGTAGCTCCTTCTTTAATCACAGCTGAAGTACAGAAGGGACTCCATGCAGTGAGATGGTAAGCAAGCTGGGACTCCTCAGCGCGCATGAGAAATTTCTTAGGGTGGATATGACATAAGTATATATAATCTCATATAATGTATGGTATGTCAGTAGAGGATGAATATTCATTTATTTAGCACAGTAACGCACCTCAGAATTATACAGAGAGATCATTGGTACATTTAAAAAATAATTACTTGAAAGATGCCTATTTTCGAACACCAGAAGTAACAGAATTTATTGCCAGAGCATGCTCTGAAAGCCAAAATATGATTTTTTGAGATTTTTATGATCAGAAAAACTCAAAATAGGAGTTTCCAAATAATACTCCTGGCTATCTCTACAAATACTGGAAGAAAACCCAACAAATAACGCCCCTCCCAGGAGAATGAACGCTCATTGCACCTAATTTTATAACCCTTTCTCAGAAATTGCTTAGTGGCTGCTCAATACTGAGCTGAATAATTTTGGTATGACCTTATATGCCAATTCTTAACTGAGAGTTGTGTGTTTGGATTTATCAGATGCTTGGTTTTGCCAAATACTGAATACGTCAGGAAGGTTAAATCAGAAAAATGTTAAGATGAGACAGAACACACAAACTGCCTACTGAACGGAGTATTTATTTTGCTTTTGAATTGGTGAATAATATTTGTATTTTCTTTACATCTCCCATTTACAGAGACCAAAAAACACTAAAGAACTTTTGTTATTTTTCAAAGCCAAACAACACTTTTTGACCATATTAACACCAGATCCTGCCTACGGTAAAGCAAGTAACTGGAACGTTGGCTTCTATAAAGTACTTATGCAGGTGAATATATCAACTTGCAATCTAATATTGAAAAGAGTTATTCCGGGAGCAACTGCTTGCCAAAATGAAATGTGGAACAGCCAGCATGCAAACGCTGCCAGAGCACCAGTAAAGGCGAGTTACTATATTTGCAAACAAGTTCAATTTTAAATTTATGAAACTAACTATAGACAAAACTGCACAATATAAACAACTATAACAAAATATTTCCTGTCATGTAAGTACCCCCACATAAACTGTTTTAAACATAAGATGAACTGTGTATGAAAAAATACTGATTTTATGCTATATATTTACTATTTTGAAACCCATTATTTCTACCCAAGAACTGGATAGTACGAATATATCTTTAGGTAAAGACATCTTTTCAAGTTCCCTACTTTTCTGTAGCAACAATATTAGCATCGTGGCATCAACAGTTTTCAGACCAAATGTAACAGATTAAATGAATTATTTCAAAATTTTCTCATAAACAGGGATGATGACTCCAGGGAAAAAAACCCCACCCAATGAGGTAGGGTATATATACCTACTATATAGCTACTTCTGGATTATGTTTGCTCTGACGTTATCATCCAGCCTAATATGCATATATTTAAATACGTCTAACTTTATATAAGGATGTGAATATAAGTACAACTCTCCAAAATAACCCAAATACTTCTCTGTTATCTCCAGTGAATAAGCAAGGGGCTTCTAATTTTAGGTGGTTTAAAACACTCCGAGGATTAAAGAAAAATCAAAGGGTAAGACGGGCCTCAAAACTTTCAGACTGGAGAATGAGAGCGATTTCAACACTTATTCAACAGAATTGCCCTGTATTGGAAGAAACGCATCAGTAGGTGCTCTGATGTGCCGTACTAGTTTCTACATCAGACACAGAGCAGATTCATATTTCTGTTATCCTTCTGCATATGAGAATGCTGCTGCAGTCAGGCTTAGTATGACACGGATCTCTGAATACAGGGTGACAAAGACAGGGAACAGACATTTGAGTCAGTTCACCTAAATTTCCAAATTATGAATAATTAAGTTGTACTGCAACTTATTCCTTCACTGGCATTTTCTTCACAAATGTGTTTTCTTAACTTTTATAGAACCCAGCAGCATGACTACACAGCAAGAGTTCAGAACGCAAGAAGCTAAGAATAAATGTCATATTCCTGATCTACAAGTTCGAAATACCTCTGACACATATACGTTTTACATTTAATTTTGCATACCGTTTTTAGAAACATCTATTAAATCATTCATTTTAGAAACACACTCCCCACTTCTTCCATCCACAAACCACCAGCTGCAGCCACAAAAACACTTCCTAAGCAACGAAAATAACTGACGAAGGACGAGAGCATCCAGTATTTTACAACCTGCTGTAAAACATGGAAATATGTATGCAAAAATGTTTAAAATGTTCTTTGCTGCCGACACATTTCTCTTAAACCACGCTTAAGAAGAAACAGGCCAACTGGACAGCCACTGGGGTGGGGGGGATGAGCTGACAAGACCCGTGGCTACACCACGGAAGGGGCCAAACACCCTCGGCTGCTTCTCCTCACCTGCTTTGCGTTTTCAATGTACGCAGCCATGTACTCGTAGGCGGCGGCCTGCGCGTTGACGCGGGTCTCGGTGCCCTCCACCGGCAGGGCGAAGCTGTCCATGATGATCATGGTTTCCCCGTCCACCTTGCCCAGCATGAGCCCCATCACCTCCAGGTTGCCCCCCGACCTGGCGTGCATCACCATCTTCAGCAGCGCCAGCGCCGAGATCTTGCAGTACTTGAAGTAATGGTGGCTGCGAAGAGAGAGGCCGCGGAGGCCATCAGGGCCGGCCCCTATGCCCGACCCGCGCCTCGGGCCCCCCCGCC